CAAATTGACACCGCCAGAACAACACTAAAAAAACAGTCTACTATTGAGGCCGTTGAAGCGCTCAAAGGCTCGCAGGCGACACAAAATGAGCGTTCTGAAAATGCTGTAATAACGCTTTCACAAGCTGAAAGCTTTATGAAGAGTCAGGCCTCACAGTCAAAAGACAAGAAAGTCCGCAAAGCCTCTAAAAATCTGGTGAATGAGCTTGAATCCGCACAAACCTTCCTTGATGCGCAAACAACAGCGCAGACAAAGGCAGAAACAGGCGGAGCGCTGACAACAACGCAAAAAGCGCATGCCAAAAACAAACTTCCCTTTGATGGCCGTCCGCCAACATATAGTGAACCCATCGTCCAGAAAAAACTTTCTGAACCGAAAAAGAAAAAATGATTTTATCTCTTTTTTGTCTCGTCAGAAAAAAATATCAGGTCTAATATCACCGCTGTTTGGCGCTCCAGATGTTAGGAAGGAACACAATGCCTTTGAGAAAAAAAACAGAACTCGTTTCTGATCAGAAAAGGCACCCCGTACGACCCCACCGCCGCACAAACATACGCTTTGGCAACATTTTTGGCATGGTGACTGGGGGTATTTTAACTGGATCTTTTTTGGCAGTCTGATTCTTCTCAGCCTGATTTTAGCTTATCCTATTTTCATCAAATAACTTCACCTTATAAAGGAGTTGCTTATGGTTTTCCGCTACAGGTTCTCTACGCTATCTGCACACAATGGTTCGAGTCCTTGATCTCGACCGATCTATCGCTTTTTATAAATTGCTGGGCTTTGAAGAAGTCCGCCGCACAGAGGTGAAGGAAGGTCGCTATACGCTCGCTTTTCTGTGTTTAAAAGACGATCCTACCCATGTTGAAATTGAACTCACCTTCAACTGGGATCGCAAAGAACCGTATATTATTGGAGACGGCTTTGGCCATTTTGCCATTAAAGTGCCAAATATTGCAGCCGCTGCCAATCAGGTTAAACAACATGGTGCGCAGTTTGGCGGGAAAGTCACCAGAGAGCCAGGCCCTGTAAAATTCGGAACAACAATAATCGCTTTTGTCGAAGACCCTGACGGTTATAAATAGAGTTGATTGAAAAAGCCTAAGTCTCTGCCGTCTTCAAAAGGCCTTTGCTGCTTAAAAAATCCTCTTTAGTGGGTGAAAGCGTGCAAAGGCCACCAAAGCACCCCTACGAATAAACAAAGCGAATAAAAAGCAGACATTGGGTGGAATTCTTTAAGAGTCGAGACAAAACACGCCACGAAAATCAAGAGCAGAGAGAGTTCAAAATAAATTTCAAGTTCGTGATGCATCTATTCACCCCGCTGCCCGTCACTTCTTAGAAGAACGCCTATCTATCCAACCGTATCCACACGCATCGTAAACAAAGATACCTCTGGCATATGGCCACCAACAAAGAAAAAAAGAACTGCTCCGCCTAAACCGAGACAGATCAAACAGAAAACCAAGGTCCAAATCACTTTATCCAGAGCGATTTTGTGTAAAAAATGTATCTTATCAAAAAATTTTAAAAGCGCATTTCCTAAACGGCTATGAATCTCTTCCCGGGAAAAACTTTCCCCGACAAGCCCACGCCGTTTTTTTCTAAGCGCCTCTACTCCTTTTGGCATAAAACTGGCCTCTAACACACTCATAATTCATTTCAATTTAATTTTTGGTCAATAAAGGTAATCTAATTTTTAAGTGCCCAATTCTTCATAAATAGTCTCTTTGGATCGAAAAAACAGGCAGAAAGTTTCTTTTTAGAGAATCAAACAAGGTTTGAAACCTTTTTGCAACAAGGGCTTAAAAATCTTCTATCTCAGCACGCAATGCGATTTCTGCTGCCTCTAGGACTTCTTCCTGACATTCTTGCGCCCATAATTCCAAAGCTTCAAAAGCCTCTCTCAGAGGGCTTGTTGAGCGGACATGCCCCTGCGCTCGAAGAGCTTCCTTCTGAAGCCATTTCAAACGTGTTCTTAAAAAATCCAGCCCTGTAAAATCATCCAAATCAATATCGGAAAATAATGCAGGACGGCAAAAAGAACATTCCTCCGCATCATAAGAGGCTAAAATTTGGCGCTTAACCATCTGATCAAGTGGCAAAAAGGACGAAGCAGGCGCACCTGCCTCAACTTGCCATCGAATTTCAGCTCTAAGATCCGCAAGCCAAATTTGATAAGGATTGTTTGAATAAAAAATTTTAAGTTTTGGAATAGGACGAAAGGATATCTTCTTAACAGTCTAAAAAATGATTTTTGATAGAAGAAGTATAAGCTTTTTTACTTATTTTTGCGATGGGGGAAAGAACTTCACCACCTCTATGCCCTCTCGAGAAGAAGTCGCAAGCGTCAAGTCAAATGCTTATTTTGCGCCTTTTAACGCCCAAACCAATAAAATCAGCATAAAAGAAATTAGATTTGCCAACACTAAAACGGCTAAAAAGATTAAAACCGCAAAATTCGGCGTCATGCCATCAGGCCTTAACCAAAGCCCCAAAAGAGGCGCTCCCATGCTCGCAGGGACAAGGAAATACAGATTTACTTTTCCCCAATGGCGCAGGCAATAGCCTTCAAAACTGCCTAATTCCGCAAAAGAATCCTCCTTTTGGATCACTTCCTTTACTTTTTTTTCCACAAGCAAAGAGGCAGATGGCCGTAAATGAGAAAGGATATTTTCTTTCTTTACCTCCTTTTTCGCAGAGGCTTTTGGAGACGGTGTCTTTGGAACAAGTTCCTGTTTTTTGGAACGGGCTGGCGCTTTGCGCACTGAAGGCTCTGCAAGAAAAGGAAGCTCCTCCAAACCTTCTTTTGCAACAGCGGCCTTGGGCTTGCGGGGCTTTCTCGTGCGTGGCGTTGCTTTCTCAGAACGCCCTTCTTTTTTACGTTTTGAAGTATCCGCAGGTGCTTTAGGCTTTGTCATGTGGTTCATTCCCTGCCACAGACGTCTCTTGCGCTATTTGTTTTTCCGCACGCTCTTGCGTAGCGTCCTGAAGAATCTGCTTTTGCGCTTCCGCCTTATTTTCTAAACCTTTTTCAAAAGCGCTGATTTCAAATTCAGTCTCTTCCTCCGCTTCGGGGCGGCGTGCCAAATTCCGAAAAACCCACTGAACCAAGAGGGTAATCCCCATAATAAGAAGAGAAAGAACCGTTGCGACACTCCAAAAAACAGCCACAAAACTGGTCACGACCTCTGCACGCTGCAACCCATCAAGGAAATACCAGAAATTCCGCAAGGTTGAATAAAGAAGAATAGGCAGAACATAAAGGAAATTTGCCCCAACCCAACTCCAAAAAAGACGGCGGAAAGGGTGCGCTTTAACTTCAATTTTTTCTGTCCCCAGAAAACGCTCAAACCCATACCAAAGCAAATAGAGAGCGAGCGAAATAAGATTGGCATGAAAAAGCGTTTGCAATGTGCCATATTCAAGCAATTGCAAACGGTCTGGACGGGTAGGCGGCAACATGAGGTACGTCAGAAGCGGCCCTGAAAAAGAGGCTGGCAGGAGATAAAACAGGTTGGCCTGAAGCCAATTCCGTATCCAAACAAAAAAATCAGGAGAATGAAAATAAGCCGACATTTTTTGAAAACGGTTTTGCGTTTTTACGGCAAAAGATTTTTTTTCAGGCAGGGTTTCTGGTGTGCCTTCTAAAAAATGTGTCAGCCCCTTCTCCGATGACGCTCCGTCATTTCCGAGCGCTTGATGTTCCTCTGATTTTTTCATTTTCGTCCTGACAATTAGACAATTTAATGGCGCTCTAGATAGCTTGCCCCCGTAAGGAAATGCGTCACTCTCAAAATCATTTTAGCGCCCCATCGAGCTGCAAAAAACAAGCCAAAAGCAAGAAAAGATAATAAATTCCCCATGACCCAAAAAAGAATAAGATAGGTGAAAATACTTGAAATTCCAACTTCCATCACAGGATCAAGCATCACCACATCCGCAGGGAATAAGGCCACGACCGCAACCGAAGGCAGGATATAAACGACATTATCACGTGCCCACAAGCCCAAAAGATGACGGGCGGGATGCGCATTATCTGGCGTTAAAAAACGGAGAGGCGAAACGTGCAGCGTTGTTTAAAAAACTTTTTTGAGCAGCTTTTCCTGTTGCAGCTTTCCGGCGCGCCTCAATAATTTCCTTGTAATGACGGTCAATAGCCCAACGCCAGATCGCAACCGCTATCAACGAAAACACGTTCGACAAAAGGAGCAAAATGAGCGAGGTTTTAGAAATCAGCTCGACAGGATAGCGATGAAGGGGCACAAAAATCAGCATCAAAAAAGCCAACGTGCTGACTGAAGGCACAATAAAAAAATAATTAACCTCAACGCCTCTGGTAATAAAATAAGGGACACCAACAATATTAGAACGCTTAAAATCAGCTCTAATTTCTGCTTTCGCATGCTGATAAAAACGTTTTAAAAGAGGGGCTTCTTTCGCAGGTATCTCTTGAACGTTTTCCTCAGGAATACCTTGTTTTTTCTGACAAATTTTTCACCATCATACAGCTGTTAAAGGGGCAAGCATCCCTCGTGTACCTCTAAGGACACGATTGCCTCCCTCCCTGTAACATAGACCTTAAAAAGAAAATTCCAATATGGGATAAAATTATATCCCTATTTTAGCAAAGCGCCAAATGATCCCTTTCTAAGCCAGCCGACTGCTTGAGTCTCAACTCGAATGGTGTCATAGTCATTCGTTCCTTCATACCTCCTCATCATTCCCTTTAAAACTCCCTCTTTGGCAGGACTTCTAAGAAAATGCGTAAGGCCGCAGATTATAAAAAGAATTTTATTTCCCGCTTAAAATCTCTCAAAAACCTAAATTGTTTTTCGCTTAAACAATTTTCACTTGCTGCGACCTGCCTTGCAACCCTTTCAGCCTGTGCTGTTGTTCCCAACGAGGGGCCAACCGATTGCGGCTTAGAAAGCTTTGACAATGCCCTTTTCCGAGATGAAGGCTGTGATCCCATCACAGGCATTATCTCAATCCCCTCCATGATTCCAATTTGGGTTGTCGATTACAGCGCCTGCGGTCTCAAATGGCATAATTCCCGTATTGCGCCAGATTTCAACGGCAGAAAAGTCCGCTATCTGCGCCGTTTAAAACAGCTAAAATTAGAGGCGGAACGCAACCAGTCAGCGGTAAATGCCCAGAGGGCACTGGCCTCTGAAAGCTTGGCTGAAAATGCGATTGCCGATAATCTCAACCGCCTCCTTCTGGCGAAAAGCCATCAAACATCTTCCCCGAATTTCAGCCTAAAACGTAATCAGGCGGCAAAAATCGTTCTGGAAAATGGCGTAAGTGAAAAATTCACCAAAGCGCTTGAGCAAATGATGCGGATCCAAAGCAACCTTAAACTGGCCGACCAAAGAGCCCTTGCGGAAATGCCGCAAGATCAAGACCTCTTGCCGTCCCTTGCGACCCCTGACGCCAAAGAAAGTTCGAGCTATTCTGTACTGGAACTGGAAAAAACCGCTTGGGCGCAAGTCACAGAAGAAGACAAGGCCAGAGAAAAACTAAAGCGTGAACAGAAAATGGCAGCATGGCCAGAAGCCAAGCGCCAAGCCTATGAACAAAAACAGGCGGCAAAAGAGCAAAAAGCAAAGGCGAAACAGGAACGTCAAAACCAAAAGCAGGCCGCACTTGAAGCCAAGCTGACACAAAAAAATGCCCAAAAAGAGGCAAAACGCCAAGAGAAACTCAAAGCAAAAGGATTGCAGGAGGCACAGCCTATGAATCCGCATTCAGCCTCAGAGGCCAAAGCTCCGCCTGCGCCTGCTGCGCCCCCTTCGGAATCCAATCCTGCAAAAGATAAAGCCCAACCTCAAATTGACGATCCTATGATTCCTGTCGTGCGCAAGGCAGAAACGGTTAAAGCCAAAAATATTTCTGAAGAAGAGTAAAAAAAGCCAATGGGCTTCTTTCTTTGCCTTTAGAAAAAGAAAAACCAACGTCACGAAAATCTTAACGGAAGGCGTTTTTACCCTTCTATTTTTGCTCTGCTAAATGTGTATCTTTCTACACAAAAAAAATATATTCCTTTTTTTGGCGTCTTTAAAAAAAAGAAGGCTTGCTTCTAAAATCAAAATGAAGCAAAGCTTGCCATGGCTGTTCTTCTCCCCCTTTTTAGGACAGCCGCTTCTACTCTTTTTTCTCCCACAAAATTTGTTTAATCTGCCCTTCCGCTGCCGCCTCCTTGCAAAAGCGTTTTTTTAAAAAATGGCACGCAATCTCTCCAAAAATCACAGGAATCAGGACAAAATTTGCCCCTAAGAAATCAAGCCAGAGTTTTGGAGGCAAGATGCGGATACTCTGCCGAAAGGGATCTAAAAATGCCAGACTCTCTGGTAAATGCTGGCCAAATTTTGCAAGGCACAGAAAGGGCAGAACCCCAATGAGATTTGCTCTGAGCAAAGCGTAAAGAAAGGCGCTCCAGCCTTGAGAGAGTGTCTTACGGAAAGCATTAGGCGCATTCTCCTCCCATACAGAGCGTACCAAAAACCAGAAAAAACCGCCGATAACCGCTAAATACGAATAACACACAACAAAGCCGGAATAAAAAGCAGACATTTGGGTGGAATATCTTTAAGAGTCGAGACAAAACACCGCCACGGAAATCAAGAGCAGAGAGAGTTCAAAATAAATTTCAAGTTCGTGATGCATCTATTCACCCCCGCTGCCCGTCACTTCTTAGAAGAACGCCTATCTATCCAACCGTATCACACGCATCGTAAACAAAGATACCTCAGGCATAATGGCCACCAACAAAGAAAAAAAAGAACTGCTCCGCCTAAAACCGAGACAGATCAAACAGAAAACCAAGGTCAAATCACTTTATCCAGAGCGATTTTGTGAAAAAATGTTCTTATCAAAAAATTTAAAAGCGCATATTTCCTAAACGGCTATGAATCTCTTCCCGGGAAAACTTTCCCGAACAAGCCCACGCCGTTTTTTTTCTAAGCGCCTCTACTACCTTATTGGCATAAAACTGGCCTCTAACACACTCACATAATTCATTTCAATTTAAATTTTTGGTCAATAAAGGTAATCTAATTTTTAAGTGCCCAATTCTTCATAAATTTCTCTTTGGATCGAAAACAGGCAGAAAGTTTCCTTTTTAGAGATCAAACAATGTTTAAACCTTTTGTGCAACAAGGGCTTAAAAATCTCTCTATCTCAGCACGCAATGTCGATTTCTGCGCTCTAGGATTCTCTGGACATTCTTGCGCCCATAATTCCAAAGCTCAAAACCTCTCTCAGAGGGCTTGCTTGAGCAGACATGCCCTGCGCTCGAAGAGCTTCCTTCTGAAGCCATTTCAAACGTGTTCTTAAAACAATCCAGCCCAGAAATCATCCAAATCAATATCGGAAAATAATGCAGGACGGCAAAAAACATCTCTCCGCATCAAAAAGGCTAAATTTTGCGCTTAACCACTGAGTCAAGTGGCAAAAGGACGAAGCGGCGCACGCCTCAACTTGCATCGAATTTCAGTCCTAAGATCCGCAAGCCAATTTGATAAGGATTGTTTGAATAAAAAGATTAAGTTTTGGAATAGGACGAAAGGAATCTTCTTAACAGTCTAAAAAATGATTTTTGATAGAAGAAGTATAGCTTTTTTACTTATTTTTGCGATGGGGGAAGAACTTACACACCGTCTACTGCCCTCTCGAGAAGAAGTCGCAAGCGTCAAGTCAAATGCTTATTTTGCGCCTTTATACGCCCAAACACCAAAAATCAGCATCAAAGAATTAGATTCTGCACACCTAAAAACGGCAAAAGATTAAAACCGCAAAATTCGGCGTCAGCCATAGGCCTTAACCAAAGCCCCAAAAGAGGCGCTCCCATGCTCGCAGGGGACAAGGAAATACAGATTTTACTTTTCCCAATGGCGCAGGCAATAGCCTTCAAACTGCCTAATTCCGCAAAAGAATCCTCCTTTTGACGCACTTCCTTACTTTTTCCCCAAGCAAAGAGAGATGGCCGTAAATGAAAAAGTACTTTCTTTCTTTACCTTCCTTCTCGCAGAGGTTTTGGAGACGGTGTCTTTGGAAACAAGTTCCTGTTTTTGGAACGGGCCTGGCGCTATTGCGCACTGAGTCTGCAAGAAAAGGAGATCCTCCAACCTTCTTTGCAACAGCGGCCTTGCTTGCGGGCTTTCTCGTGCGTGGCGTTGCTTTCTCAGAACGCCCTTCTTTTTTACGTTTTGAAGTATCCGCAGTGCTTTATAGGCTTTGTCATGTGGGTTTCATATCCTGCCCCAGGACGTCTCTTGCGCTATTTGTTTTTCCGGCACGCTCTTGCGTAGCGTCCTGAGAATCTCGCTTTATGCGCTTCCGCCTTATTTTCTAAACCTTTCTAAAAGCGCTGATTTCAAAGTTCAGTCTTCTCTCCGCTTCGGGGCGGCGTGCCAAATTCCGAAAAACACACCCACTGAACCAAGAGGGTAATCCCCATAATAAGAAGATGAAAGACGCGTTGCGAACACTCCCAAAAACAGCCACAAAATTGGTCAGACCTCTGCACGCTGCAACCCATCAAGGAAATACCAGAAATTCACGCAAGGTTGAATAAAGAAGAATAGGCAAGAACATAAGGAAATTGCCCCAACCCAACTCCCAAAAAAGACGGCGGAAAGGTGCGCTTTAACTTCAAATTTTTTCTGTCCCAGAAAACGCTCAAACCCATACCAAAGCAAATAGAGAGCGAGCGAAATAAGATTGGCATGAAAAAGCGTTTGCCAAGTGCCATATTCAAGCAATTGCAAACGGTCCTGGACGGGTAGGCGGCAACATGAGGTACGGTCAGAAGCGGCCCTGAAAAAGAGGCTGGCAGGAGAGATAAAACAGGTTGGCCTGAAGCCAATTCCGTATCCAAACAAAAAATCAGGAGAATGAAAATAACCGACATTTTTTGAAAACGGTTTTGCGTTTTTACGGCAAAGAATTTTTTTTCAGGCGAGGTTTTTGGTGTGCCTTCTAAAAATGTGTCAGCCCCTTCTCCGATGACGCTCCGTCTATTCGAGCGCTTGATGTTCCTCTATATTTTTTCATTTTCGTCCTGACAATTAGACAATTTAATGGCGCCTCTACGTAGCTTGCCCCGTAAGGAAATGCGTCACTCTCAAAATCACTTTTAGCGCCCCATCGAGCTGCAAAAAACACAGCACAAAGCAAGAAAAAGATAATAAATTCCCACATGACCCCAAAAAAGAATAAGATAGGTTGAAATACTTGAAATTCCAACTTCCATCACAGGATCAAGCACACCACATCCGCAGGGAATAAGGCCACGACCGCAACCGAAGTCAGGATAAAACGACATCTATCACGTGCCCACAAGCCCCAAAGATGACCGGCGGGATGCGCATTATCTGGCGTTAAAAACGGAGAGGCGAAACGTGCAGCGTTGTTTAAAAAACTTTTTAGCAGCTTTTTCCTGTTGCAGTTTCCGGCGCGCCTCAATAATTTCCTTGTAATACGGTCAATAGCCAACGCCAGATCGCACACCGCTATCAACGAAGAACAACCTTCGACAAAAGGAAGCAAAATGAGCGAGGTTTAGGAAATCAGCTCGACAGGGAATAGCGATGAAGGGGCACAAAAATCAAGCATCAAAAAGCCAACGTGCTGACTGAAGGCACAATAAAAAAATTAAAACCTCAACGCCTCTGGTATATAAAATAAGGGACACCAACAATATTAGAACGCTTAAAATCAGCCTCTAATTCTGCTTTCGCATGCTGATAAAAAACGTTTTTAAAAGAGGGGCTTCTTTCGCAGGTATCTTACTTGAACGTTTGTTCCTCAGGAATACCTTGTTTTTCTGACAATATTCACCATCATTACAGCTGTTAAAGGGGCAAGCATCCCTCGTGTACCTCTAAGGACACGATTGCCTCCCTCCCTGTAACATAGACCTTAAAACAGAAAATTCCAATATGGGATAAAATTATATCCCATATTTTAGCCAAGCGCCAAATGATCCCTTTCTAAGCCAGCCGACTGCTTGAGTCTTCAACTCGAATGGTGTCATAGTCATTCGTTCCTTCATACCTCCTCATCATTCCCTTTAAAAACTCCCTCTTTGGCAGGACTTCTAAGAAAATGCGTAAAGGCCGCAAGATTATAAAAAAGAATTTTATTTCCCGCTTAAAATCTCTCAAAAACCTAAATGTTTTTTCGCTTAAACAATTTCATTGCTGCGACTGCCTTGCAACCCTTTCAGCCTGTGCTGTTGTTCCCAACGAGGGGCCAACCGATTGCGGCTTAGAAGACTTTGACAATGCCCTTTTCGAATGAAGGCTGTGATCCATCACAGGCATTATCTCAATCCCCTCCATGATTCCAATTTGGGTTGTCGATTACAGCGCCTGCGGTCTCAAATTGCATAATTCCCGTATTGCGCCAGATTTCCAACGAGCGAAAAGTCCGCCTATCTGCGCCGTTTAAAACAGCTAAAAATTAGAGGCGGAACGCAAACCAGTCAGCGGTAAATGCCCAAGGCAATGGGCCTCTGAAAGCTTGGCTGAAAAATGCGATTGCCGATAATCTCAACCGCCTCCTTTCTGGCAAAAGCCATCAAACATCTTCCCCGAATTTCAGCCTAAAACGTAATCAGCGGGCAAAAATCGTTCTGAAAATGGCGTAAGTGAAAAATTCACCAAAGCGCTTGAGCAAATGATGCGGATCCAAAGCAAACTCTAAACTGGCCGCAACAAAGAGCCCTTGCGGAAATGCCGCAAGAATCAAGCCACTTTGCCGTCCCTTGCGACCCCTGACGCCAAAGAAAGTTCGAGCTTTTCTGTACTGGAACTGGAAAAAACCGCTTGGGCGCAAGTCACAGAAGAAGACAAGGCCAGAGAAAAACTAAAGCGTGAACCAGAAAATGGCCAAGCATGGCCAG